TAAAATCCACACGAATCCATCTTTGTTGCTAGTTTCTTTGCTATTGTCTCTTGACTATTTTTCTATCTTTCTGTGTTTATTTCATGTAGAGTTTTGTACAATGTAAAAAACTTAGGGTGTTCGTTTAAATTTTTGACAACTTATAAAAGAGTGCATGATAATTAATCGTAGGTGTCTAAATAGTTTGCAAGCCCGCATTGCGTTATAAGCTTACGTCTGTATCCTATACTAAAAACAAGTTACTTTGCTATTAACAACGTCTTAAACATGAATGGAAATTGTTTCCTTTTGTGCAAGAAGAGTAAAATTCACAGATCTTTCAGAGTCTGAATCAAAGAAATCCAACAACCACTCTTTGAGATTAAGGACTAGATAAAGGATGGCGCACTCCAGCTATAACCAGTATACAAGAGAATATCGTTTGATATCTCTTGCCAGTCTACCAGTGTTAAGCAAAGAGGCAAATCTACCAGAGGTTATATAAAAGACCTCAAACAATCATGCGCTCCTAAAGATTCACGACTAAATAATGGAAAAAGCAAACTCCAGCTTTAACCAATCTACCCTGTGTTAAGTAAAGACGTTTCGACTTGATCAGAAATCGATCGAGCGAAACCGTGAAACATCTGAGGCAACAAATATCCAAGTTAAACAATTACACGCAAGCGCAACTTTGTTAAGATTTAATGAGAGTGGATAAGCCCGTTCAAAAATAAATCCCACGATCTGACCAAGGACTTAATTAATAGAACTATTTTTTTTCTGTGCGTACGTATCGTTTCAGTTTATCTCCTCAGTCCTTAATTAACGGATTAACCCTCTAATCACTCTTAAGATAGGATTGGCAATGCCTCTTTGAAGTTGCCTCTGATACCGTCCTTTCCTCGTTATCAAGATTAAAACCAATGATCTAGCAGATGACTTTATCTTTTCTCGTGACCCGTTTGATGCATGGTATTTTGACATTGTGGAGAAAAGTTTTGTTATTTATCAGTTCTTGGAGCTAATAGTTTAGGTCAAGCGCCTGACCCAGCGCCAACGAAGCTCAAGAATTGGCAACCATTTATCGCTTTGCACAGCAAAATTTGTGAAATTTGCGAAACGATTTTTCGTCTGAGAAACAGCGAACGGGACTTTGAGCGCAATACTCTACAAGTTTGGTTTGACCTACGTAATAGCTTTGGGAATTTTAGGCAACCCTTTTGAACAGAGAGATAAAAGTCCCGTTCCCAGTGTCAAGATGTTAGAAATATATGGCTACATCGCAAAAGGATTCCAGACGAACCACCGCGTCGCACTTGCCAAGAACTATTTTTTATAAGCGTTTAACTTTTTTTTTTAATTTCTAAGACAAAATTGCCTTGGATTCGACTTTTACGTTTCTTCATTATTCGACGAGGTACAGTGAAAGATGACAGCTCATTTAGAACCTTGAAAATCATAATTACGTTCGTCCTTGTGACAAATAAACTTCCTCACAATGAATAGCCAAATTTAGTGGACTTCACCTATGTATTCTTTCGTTCAATGATTTTGTTTTCAACATCATCATTCAGATGTCTTAGAAACTGTCTGAAACGTTTTTCCAAAATACATCCCTTCCGTGATTGCAGTGATAGATAATGATGATTGAAGTGTTACTAAGAGACGGTTCACGATTCCGTATGGAATTTCTTATTCACTATTTTGAAAAGAACAATTAACAAATCTCATTTTGCAACCGGAATTAATGATTTTCCACTGAACTTGAATAAGTTTTCCAGTGTTTCTTTCTTTGCTCTAAATAACCTTACAAATGTATCTTTTACAAAACACTTGAAATTCTAAATTCTCGTTAAATCTCGAACTTCGTTTCTAAAAATGTTAAGTTAAACATGCAGTTTTGTTTGATCTTCTTCTCAAGGAAATATTTTTTACTTCATTGCAATCAAACAAATATTAACTTGGTTCTCAGGTGCCAATGTCCTAACTTAATATGTTAATTTTTGTAACAGCTTTTTTACACGAATTTTCAAGCACTGGCCATTTTTAAAAGCTGTTTAAGGTTTTGGATAACTTCATACGTGCATTAGTTGTTTTAGAATCACTTCTAGAGATTGAATTCAAACGAAATCCGTTCTCAAAATCAGCGAGGTATGACAATTCAGAAGTTTTTTTTTTAAGTCTTTGAGTTATCTTCATCGTATTGAGATTCATACAAGACCACATAACAAGAACCGTTGGATAACTCACTGAGTAAGCTAGGAAATTGAAATTTTTGCTCGGACCAACGGGTTACGTTAAATATGCAGGACAACTTCGAGTTGTCAAAACGTTCGTCATTGCCGCTTACATCAGTCCCTTTCAGGACTAACCTCACTTGGACTATCCCTCTATGGGATCAACTGGAAATTTCTCCTGCGCTCAAAATATTTGCTAAATTTCGAGAGCTTCCAGTAAGATTTATATCTTAAAAAGCAGAAACTGTGTCGAGAAAAGGGTAAGATAACATGGCGCGATGAAAGAAATGTCGCAACATGTTTTTTGGGGACTCAGAATTTTTTCTTTGTCCCACGCTCGTGGCAAGACGAAAATGCATCTTTCACTATTTCTTTACCGAGCTCAAAACTTGCCATCTCTCTTATTCTATCTACAAATCTGTTGATATCGACAACTCTAATTCTCTCTCACAGGATGAAAAGGCGCACAGCAACGATCACGTTCATCATCTTGTCAACCATTTCTTTGGCAAAAGGTAGGTCAGCCAGATAACGGCTTAAAAGTTGCAACTTAAGATTCGCCCTTAGATGCGGTCAAATGGTAGTAGTGGTCTTTTGGTGGGATTAAGCCAGTGTGTGAGAGAGCTTCCTGTCATTCAGTCTTGCCTGTTGCATGCTGGACTGTTCGAAATATCAAGTCCGTTTTCTGTTTGTGTTGGTGAGACACATGAAATAAATTTTGGTTTCAGTGATCACCATACGCTTAGGCGTTATTTTAAAACCCAAATCCAACCATATCTATGTAGGTTTGCTAGCGTCTAGTTTCATTCTACTTTTCGTACTGTTCAGCGACTTCCGTTTTAGTTGGGTTGGGGCTGGATCGCCTTTGGTTCGCCTGCTGTTCATTCCATTTTTGTCAGCCAGAACTTTACTCCGGTTGCTAAGTAAGGGAAATACTACCTGTAGATCTAGACTCTGGTTTATCTCTGTAAATGTGATTTTAAACCTAAACGTTTTTTTGACCCTTTTCCTCTACGTATCAAGAAATGGCCCATTGTTCCGGGTCAACTTTTCCAAACAAAAGTCCTGAGTAATTGGTAGTCCTGAGGGACTTTGGCCGAAGGGAGGCGGAAAAGCTCGTAACTGATCGAGAAAATTATCGGAGTGGAAATTTTGCTGCACTGGGGGAGTGGGTAGTGTAAATATGAATTAGTAAAATCAATCTCCATCGGTGTACCCAGGGGTAGACTTGACCCTCGTTTAGCGCATTGAGCCAAAGGTTCGCAAATTCAGAAATAATTAAATTTATCCGTATTGCAGTGACTAATTTAAACCACCTCTCTCTATATGTAAGTCAAGTCGCCTGGTTTTTTACCAGTCAGTTTTTTCAACGTACAAATATATTTTTTGGTCTTACTACTGATGTTAAATGCAATCGAAAGTGACGGTTTTCTGTGGAGAGCCTCGAGGCGATTGAAGACCTTGTTTCTGGCGCACAGCTGTTTTCAAACGAGGCATTCATCGTTTTTAGAACCAGCATGTTTACCTAACACGAGGATCCTTCTTTGCAAAGGCACCGAATTCGTGTAACTATATTGATGATACAAGATATACTGATCAAAGCAATGATTTCTAGTTTTTGCGAGAGC